GTAAACATTTTTCTTTTTTCTTTTTTTGGGCTGGCTCACCTGCCTTAAGGGCAGGTCTGGTAAGGCATGTGGAGCTGGTGATCGAACCTCAGTCCTTTGGGCCTGACTGGGTTTGCCCCAGCAGGCACTGAAACAACTGAGCTAACCTGCAGGCCACCCCCTCCACCTTTTCTACATTACACTGAAAACAATGACAAATAATATAACATGACAGTAGTATTTTCATGTAAAATATTAATTAGCAATTCTAAATCAGATTTTTTAGTAGTAACTTTATTTCACTCTTTAAGTATTAATATTTATAAGTATCATAAAAATAGAATGAAGTAAGCATAATTCTCAAATACTTTATCATCCAATTTCCATTTGGTGATCTGATTCAATGACAGGTATGAGACATGGTGCTTCATAATCTCCAAAGGCAAGACATAGTTTTAGTTGTCCAAACACACACAAAAGTGATTGGTTTTCAACCCTTAAGGCAGAGCTTAGCAATATAATTTGTCTACTTGCTTTCTGGGAATTTTACATACATTAATTGTCTTAAGGAGTGATAGGCATAAAAAAAGGATTGATTTTCTAAATTTCTAGACTAAGGTTTTTCTTCATGTTGTAGTAGGTATTCAAACATTGCATTGCCAACTATAATGTCTTTGTCATGAAAATTACTTGGAATAGCAGCAACACAGTGAGCATTTATTGCCTTCTTGATCTTCCCCAAGCATTGCATGGTACATGTTATTCTCGTGAAGATCATATGATATATGTAGGACTATTATCTCCATTTCTTTTTTGAGCCAGAGTCTTTCTGTGTAATACTATCTGGTCAGAAACTCACTCCATGGCTGTAGGATTGCTACTGAACTTGCTGCAGTCCTCCTACTTGGGCCTCACATGTGCTGCTGTTATCCTCAGTAGCAAACCTCCTAGCTCGGACTCCTGAGTACTGGGATTGCACCTCCTTTGGCTCCATTGCCATTTCATACATGAGCACACTGAAAGACATTATGGAACCTGACTAACTTTTAAAACAAATTTTTTTTGTGGCAGAGGCTTGATTCTGACACTACTGATTTCAACTCCAGAGCCTGCACTCTTAATCAGAACAACTAACTGCTTCTTAAATCAGTTAGTAAATGCAGGTCATGTGCGCAAACAGTCTCAAATCATATGCATTTGTCATTTGTACTGTGTAGATTTTCTAGTGGGGTTTGCATCTGCAGCAGTCTAAATAGAGCAGCATTTGGTTGGGAAGGTAGCTGCACAAATCTCCCTTTTGATGTCCCTGATAATTGTTATTAATGGGTGGTGGTAAAACACATATTGATTTTTGTAGTTTGCCTCCAGTGTGGATTATACAATAAAATAAAACTTCCCTGCCATTTGGAGTTTGAGTTTTGAGGAGGAGGATTAATATAGTCAGTTAACAGCAATGTTCTTCAGTGTGAAGTAGAGAAGCCTGGGAACCTGGAACAAAGGCATTGAAACCCTGCGTGTTCATTCCAGTTGGTAAGGGAGGGCTGATCTCTGTGATAGGAGAGAATGCTCCAGAATGTCCTTTGTTTAATACAGCTTTTGATAGTTTGTTTTATACAGTTTTCCTCAAAAGTTTCATACAGTTTTTGATGCATGCCACAGCCCGTTGGTAGGTCAAGAGACCCCCATGCGTCTCTGCCCTTGCAGCAACATGCTGATGATTTGTTAGAAAGGGAGTGAGATGTCTTACTGGTAGGTGCTTTCCCACTGTGCACTGTCAGCAATGATGTACAATTTTTCAAAAGGTGAGATGGGCTTGAAGAAGTTTCCAACTGGAACAAGTAGCTAACCTCACTGATGTTAGAGACTAGGGTAGCTTCCTACTCTGGGATACTTCTAGATTTCAGCTAAGGAAAAGCATTCCAACCTTTGTCATAGTAGAAGTATTCAAATTTATAGTTGAATATGAACCCTGATAATTCAATGTCACCCACAATATTTACATCCACACTGGATATTTTGTATATTAAATGTGAATATATCAAATATTCTAGAAAGAGAAAAATATGACAAATCCATATCTGTTTGTGAATAGACACATATTACAGGAGTAAATAGAAAATATAAAATCAGTATTTAGAGAAAGAAGTAAATTATGGAGTGTGGTGGTTTTCAGTGCTGGAAGTCTGAGCAGTTTTTAATTTCATTCAACCAGAAGGCATTCCAGGTACAGCCAATAAAGACTGACAGTGGGAAGATGACATTCCAGAGTTGTGCTTAAATACAACAGAGGTGAAAGCTGACACTGAGAAGACTGAAAGAGAGTATCGGGTCTAGACAAGGACCACTCTGATTAGACTCTACATAACCACAGTCTTTCACCTGAAAGCTTTAACTGATCATACCTCAAATTAGCACCTTGTTACCTTGAATAATACTGAGAAATATTTTTTTTGCCTTGTTCCCATGACTGCTATAAACAAATTAATAATCACACACAGCCAAAATTCATAAACACAAGCCTGAATGTGACCAAGTGAAAATTATCCTTTTCTTCTTAAATTATAAAAGAGCACAGAATATGAAAATTTGAAAAAATAAAGTCTAGTCATTATTCTGTCTGTTCCAAACATTGAATTTTACTTGGGCATTACCTTTTAGAGTGTCTTAATACATATATGCTTTTTAGAAAATTTCAACCAGTGTGTGCAGTTTGATTATGCTTTTTTTCATTTGCTATTAGGTGATTCTATATGAAACAATAGTTTAATTGTTGCCTAATATGATTTAGAGAATCCTATAATTTAAATAATTTCTGTTTTGACATTGATTATTCATATTCTAATAAAGTCAGTGTCTTTTTAATTTGCAGTGAATTATCACAGAAGGAAATGACATTATCAAGGATTAATTTTAAGACATAATACATAGCACATAATAATAATAATAATAATAATAATAATAAAATTATAACCATATATAATTTTATCAACTGTATCAATATTCCAGGAGCATGATGCTGGCTTGAGTAATGATCTTGAAATATTTTCTTTCTTTTACCCTGTATTCAGATTTGCTCTAATATCCATCTTTTTCATTATGACTATGAGCATTACTTCTGTTCTTGTTTTTTTATGAGTTTTGCTTTTGCGTGATAATTGGTATGTTACTGTTTTTCTTACAAATTTGTATGATCTCTTCAGATAGTACAGATTTTAGTCTGTCTTAAGTTTTGGTAATAATATGGGATAATTTGTTTCGTGTTTGGTTTTAGATTTCAAATTAATTTCATTTAAAGATGCATATTCATTGGTGTTTTCAATTGTGATTTCATATATTGTATTACTTTGATAAAGGGCAGGTTATTCCATAGAATCTAGAGATGCATTATACAGTTTATTTTAGATTCAGCTCAAGTAGGTATAACGGTTAGGTTTATGAACAATCTACTTGGAGCTTATTTTGCTATATGTCTACGATATGAATTAAGGATAAATATTTAAAAAAATAAATGCTCCTATTTTGTATACCTTGTCTTGAGTTACTTATGTGGTTTTATTCATTCTTTTCCAATTGTTATGTACTTATTTGTATATAAGCATTCTTATTCTCTAACTTTTGGTACTGGTATTATTCTTTATTTTCTTGTTGGGTTTTGTTCATATAATTGCCCTTATGCTTTT